AAATGTATTAGCTGTAATTATCATACTCAATCAGTTAACAAAAAGTAGTGAGAATATATGAATTATAGAAGTTTTATCAAAATATAACTTATTATTCATGTAATTTGTATTTTCAGATGCCGAAAAATTTGTTAACACTCATTGTAACCACACCTATTTAAAGTCATCTAACAACAGTTAGGCTTTTAGTAGACAGTCCGAAGTCTGGTGTTCTAAATATTAGTTCATGAATAATGTTCAAAATTATTTAGTAACAAGTGGGACGGCATTGAGTGTTATACAGAGTAATCCAAAATTCTATCCAAAAACATGATTGATTTTAATTAAAGAAAAAATTATGTATGTTAAAATATATTCACCTACAAGAAACATAATATAGCAAACTAATAATGTATATAAATAAAAAATACAATATATAAAATTAATCTACTTCTTTCTACTTTTTTGACTATGTATTATACATTAATTTTTCGTCATGTAATAGTAACCTACAACGCGGCATCAGTTTTCTACGAATTCAAAAATGATCCGAAGGGTTTCCAGTAACTTTCTATAAATCAAAAGAAAGTTTATATAATTCTACATATTTCTTCAATTAGTTCTTCAAGTAGTTATAAGAATTTTGTTTTAATAATTTCACTATATATTTAGCGCTCTTAGTAGTTTAACGTAGTAACTAATATTTGGTAACTAAATAGTTACCGCATTTTTAAATTGATAAGAAATTGCTAGCTAAAAATTGCTCATTTCACGCACGTAAAAAAAATGTTTTTCAACACATAATTCGGATTCAAATATGGTAAAAGTTACAAAAAAAAAAGTGTATGGACTTAGTAAAATCAGGTTTCAAATAAATTAATTCGGCTTTAAAAGGTGGTGTAAGTTATTTTTTTATGAAAAATAATATAATCGTTGATGACATTGTCGATTTCATGGTTGAAATAAATCATGAAATAATAAATGTATTAAAAATGTCAACTGTAAATTTAATGTTTTACTGTACACAATGTACTTTCATACTGTAACTGGTAAGTTCAAAGATGTATCATTCAAGTCGCGCAATAAGACAGTAGACTTAGGAACCGATTTTACATCAGTAATGGAAAAAATAACTTTAAGTTGGAAACTGAAAAACAAGATATGGAAATCAGCAAAGTGGATGGTCGCTAACATCAATAATTGATCAATTATTTAAATCAAAATTTAAATTAAAATAAATTTAATCAATTATTGATGGTATTTTGTTGATAGTACATAAATTAAACTCACTGAGGGGATCATCGCATATTGAATTACCATCGTGTATAAAAAACAAAAAGGCTGTTGTAAATATTAGAAACGATGATCAACAATGTTTCAAGTGGACAATTGTATGTCATTACAACGAAAGAGATAAAAATAGTGATTGGAATGATGCATATTTTGAATTAGAACAATGTTTGAACATAGATTTTTTCGGTATTGATTTTCCAACACCAATTGAGCAAATTAATCGCTTCGAACGAAAAAATCCAATAATATCGATAAATGTGTATGTGTTGGACAATAAAAACATTGTTTTTCCATTGCGTGTAACTAAATCCAAAACCGCTACAGAACATACTGATTTCCTCTATTTGAAAAATAATGAAACTAACCACTATTGTTACGTTTCAAAATTTTCAAGGCTTGTATCAAAACAACTCTCAAAAAGTAAACAACAAGAATATCATCGTAAACGATGTCTCAGCGTATTTAACGAGCAACCGTTATTGACTCGTCCAAGTGGGAAAGAGAGACATAAAGAACATGTAAAAATGTGTGGAAAATTTAAGGAGGCTCGCATTGTTCTACCACAGCCTAACTCTGATCTTTCAATATTACGTTTTAAAAACACAAGACGAGAAGAACCAATACCATTAGTTATCAACGCTGATATGGAAAATTTGCTTGTTCGAACGATGGAACAAATATCGGACAAGTCTATGATTATACAAAACATAAACCAATGAGTTATTGTTTTTACATAGTACACAACTCCAAAATATTACCTCAAAATATGTGTCAAGGACTACCGGAGGAACCAGTAATGTATCGAGGACCTGATGCTGCTAAACATTTTGTATCAGCGTTGGTAGATATAGGAAAACAAGTATTAGATATCATGAAAATTAATATCGAGATGAACCCTCTAACTTCTGAGGATCAACATCATTTCGATACCACAAAACATTGCGATTCGTGTTTAATAGAGTTTACCGATAAAATTGTCAGTCCTCTTGCGGCATTCATCGCAACAGGTAGTGTTTTTACGTATCTCGCTCGCTTATCTATTGTCGTGAGTGTTATATAAATCAAAGCACAGTGTATAGAGGAAACATGGTTAAAGCCAGTGCTTCCCAACACTCGAGCAAAAAACGTACTAGCAGCGTGGCTCTTTCTCCATGACACGACTTTAGGAATAAATACTCCCCACTCGCAAGTCTTGATGATTCCAATGAAGATAACTTAGATGAAACTGACATGGATCTTGAAGAGGTAATTCAAAAAATTCCTCCTCTATATATATATGATATTATCGATTATATTGAGTTTTTAAACAATATCACACCTCTGTTAACAGACAATTTTAATATAAACAATAAAAACATCTTCTTAAAGTTAAATTTATCGAATGTTAACGATTACCGTACAATCTCAAAATACCTATTTGAAAAAAATATTAAATTCCACACCTATCAACTTCCTGAGGAAAGAAACCTATCAGTAATAATCAGAAATTTACCTACCTCCATTCCTGAAAAAACCATTTTTTCGGCTCTAGTTGAACAAAAATTTAATGTCACATCTGTCACTCGTCTCCAAAACCGTCATAAATCTCCTATACCAATCGTTGCTGTCATATTAGATAAATCCGAAAAAAGTATATTTTCACTTGATCGTCTTCTTCATTGTGTTATTTCGGTCGAGAGCCGCAAAAGTGATTCGACTATACCACAATGTAAAAACTGTCAACGTTTTCAACACACAAAAAACTTCTGCAATCTCCCCCCTAGGTGTGTAAAATGCTTAGAAAATCATCATTACTCTGAATGTACTAAGGATAAAAATAGCCCACCAATATGTGTTAACTGTAATGAAAATCACCCTGCTAATTACAGAGGCTGTAAAATATACAAACAAGTAAAAAATAAATCTAACAACTCTAAACTATTCAAGAACGCTCCTAAACACATTATACAACAGAACAGTATAAATGATAATAAATATTCTCAAGTCATGTCTAATACTGGTACAATAAATCCTCAAAATCAAGTTCCAAACCAAATAACTCCTAACATAAACAGCATTCCATCCTATACTGAAAAAACAAAATAAAAAACTAATCTACAGCTAAATGGAGAATTAAATAACTCAAATATCACTGATGAGCTTATTAAGACAATTATGCCCTTAATCAGCTCACTTGTCTCACAAATAATCAAAAAAGTCATCGAAAATCTACCTACTCTTTTAAATAATATAAATGTCGT